TAAGAAGAAGAGACCGTTTGGGCCAAGAAAAAAGAGCAAGGAAATTTAGACCGTGGAAATTTTGTTTTTGGTCTGGAGCCCAAATTTTGGGTTTTTTTGGTTTAAAACCCGTGTTTGGAAAAGACGCGGGGGTGTGGGTAAAAGGATTATTCTGATGTGTATTTCCCCACCGTAAAGCACGGAGGAGGAGGTGTTATGGTGTGGGGTGGGTGCTTTGCTGGTGACACTGTCTGTGATTTATTTAGAATTCAAGGCACACTTAACCAGCATGGCTACCACAGCATTTTGCAGTGATACACCATCCCATCTGGTTTGGGTTTAGTGGGACTACATTTACATTTACATTTACGTCATTTAGCAGATGCTCTTATCCAGAGCGACTTACAAATTGGTGCATTCACCCTATAGCCAGTGGGATAACCACTTTACAAATAAATTGTTTTAATTATATATATATTTTTTATTATTATTTTTTTTTTTTTTGGGGGGGGGGGGTAGAAGGATTACTTTATCCTATCCCAGGTATTCCTTAAAGAGGTGGGGTTTCAAATGTCTCCGGAAGGTGGTGAGTGACTCCGCTGTCCTGGCGTCGTGAGGGAGCTTGTTCCACTATTGGGGTGCCAGAGCAGCGAACAGTTTTGACTATCATTTGTTTTTCAACAGGACAATGACCCAACACACCTCCAGGCTGAAACTCTAATTTGACCAAATCAGCTTCGACAAGGTTTTAAAGGGAATTTCGAATAATGCAGAATCTTGAACATTAATTCTAATTAATTATCCTTTGTTCATATGTGGCAGTTATCATGCAATAAGAATCCTATTATTCTTTCACTTTTCCGTACTTCAAATGTAGCAAACCCAGACCCCTTAGTAGTTAAACCCAGATCCCAATGACATTATAAAAGAAAGTATGCATGCAAGATTGCAGTGCACTTTAGGCAGTATTATGCTGCCCCTGGAGGTATAATTCAGAATTGACTGCCAAATAGGAATGACAGGGATGTCAGTATTTCAATAGCAGCTCACTGTATTCTGCTCCATAGGGATTGATTGATACAGTGGGGAAAAAAAGTATTTAGTCAGCCACCAATTGTGCAAGTTCTCCCACTTAAAAAGATGAGAGAGGCCTGTAATTTTCCTCATAGGTACACGTCAAACTATGACAGACAAATTGAGAATTTTTTTTCCAGAAAATCACATTGTAGGATTTTTAATTAATTTTTTGCAAATTATGGTGGAAAATAAGTATTTGGTCACCTACAAACAAGCAAGATTTCTGGCTCTCACCAGACCTGTAACTTCTTCTTTAAGAGGCTCCTCTGTCCTCCACTCGTTACCTGTATTAATGGCACCTGTTTGAACTTGTTATCAGTATAAAAGACACCTTGTCCACAACCTCAAACAGTCACACTCCAAAACTCCACTATGGCCAAGACCAAAAGAGCTGTCAAAGGACACCAGAAACAAAAATTGTAGACCTGCACCAGGCTGGGAAGACTGAATCTGCAATAGGTAAGCAGCTTGGTTTGAAGAAATCAACTGTGGGAGCAATTATTAGGAAATGGAAGACATACAAGACCACTGATAATCTCCCTCGATCTGGGGCTCCACGCAAGATCTCACCCCGTGGGGTCAAAATGATCACAAGAACGGTGAGCAAAAATCCCAGAACCACACGGGGGGACCTAGTGAATGACCTGCAGAGAGCTGGGACCAAAGTTAACAAAGCCTACCATCAGTAACACACTACGCCGCCAGGGACTCAAATCCTGCAGTGCCAGATGTGTCCCCCTGCTTAAGCCAGTACATGTCCAGGCCCGTCTGAAGTTTTGCTAGAGTGCATTTGGATGATCCAGAAGAGGATTGGGAGAATGTCATATGGTCAGATGAAACCAAAATAGAACTTTTTGGTAAAAAACTCAACTCGTCGTGTTTGGAGGACAAATAATGCTGAGTTGCATCCAAAGAACACCATACCTACTGTGAAGCATGGGGGTGGAAACATCATGCTTTGGGGCTGTTTTTCTGCAAAGGGACCAGGACGACTGATCCGTGTAAAGGAAAGAATGAATGGGGCCATGTATCGTTAGATTTTGAGTGAAAACTCCTTCCATCAGCAAGGGCATTGAAGATGAAACGTGGCTGGGTCTTTCAGCATGACAATGATCCCAAACACACCACCCCGGCAACGAAGGAGTGGCTTCGTAAGAAGCATTTCAAGGTCCTGGAGTGGCCTAGCCAGTCTCCAGATCTCAACCCCATAGAAAATCTTTGGAGGGGAGTTGAAAGTCCGTGTTGCCCAGCGACAGCCCCAAAACATCACTGCTCTAGAGGAGATCTGCATGGAGGAATGGGCCAAAATACCAGCAACAGTGTGTGAAAACCTTGTGAAGACTTACAGAAAACGTTTGACTGTGTCATTGCCAACAAAGGGTATATAACAAAGTATTGAGAAACTTTTGTAGGTGACCAAATACTTATTTTCCACCATAATTTGCAAATAAATTCATTAAAATATTTTTTCTCAATTTGTCTGTCATAGTTGACGTGTACCTATGAGGAAAATTACAGGCCTCTCTCATCTTTTTAAGTGGGAGAACATGCACAATTGGTGGCTGACTAAATATTTTTTTTCCCCACTGTATGAGCACTAAGCCAACACTGTATATAGTATAGTTTCTGCTCACATTAGGTATCTTCATGAAATAACTTGTTTAAACCAGTTTAGAGTCTAAACCATTTCAGGTCTTCGACCAGTCATATACATTCCTGCTCTTAGCACACTGGACAAATGGTGGTACAGTTTCCCACGGCAGTAAAATGGTAGCTAATATCACAAACCCTTGGTTGTTGTAAATATGGTAAGGAAAATCTAGCAAATAAAGTGTTGATGAAAAATGGAGAGAATGCAATTACACTGCAATAAATATATGTATAATGTACGGATGTTGCATGTTGAGGTTTCCAGTCACATCAACGGTAGAATGATAGTTTAAACATTAAAAAGGGCACTGCTATAATGTGGGCATCGTTCTCTCTCGATACTCTGAGACACTTTCTAGAAGGATACTTTGGTGGATAATTATAGCTTTGTGAGGAATTGACAATGTAAATTACCTTAAATCGTCTGACATAAGCAACCCTCACAAGCTGATGTCCAAATTAATGTAGATGAAATCACAACCATCAGTTTCTCTTGCAAAATCTCAATGAGACTAGCCGGTTACATGAAAATGACTCCATTTCATTAATAGAGAAGGACTGTATCTAACTATGTACGGACGTGAGTCCTATACTAGATACTGGATAGTGAATGTGCCATGATACTCATGTGCTTTATGTACTTTTTGAGTTTGAGTGATCCCCATCTAAAAAAGACTATTGGTAACATTAATGGAACATTTATGCTTTAAACTTTACTGGTAGAAATAGGCTTCTACTTCTCAGGGCACTCGTTTCACTAACCTGAATACATAACTTTCTTAAGGTTTTCTTGGAATGTTTTTGAATATACCGGTAGGCTGGATTTGAGCATAATAGCCATTGAATGTCTGATCAAGACATTGCCTACTAACGCCATTTGGCAAGATTGCAGTTGAGTTCTGACCGCTAATTGCTTTGATACAAGCACACTTTAGAATCATGAAAATTACCTTTAGAAACATATTAATGCCAATAGTTATGATGTATCACTAAACGTGCAGCTATACTGAATGTACAATGCTATGTATGAACAAACTTATGTAATACTCATACATTATAATGAAGATTTGGATTGTATAATTAAGCATACATACTGTATATAGAACTCTCTTTGATATTATAGTACTGCTAGATAGTACACCCATGCTGTATATTTGCATTTAACTACAGTAAAGTCCTTTTTCATTGGCTGTTTCACTTCTCATCCGTCTGTTCTCTGGAAATGAAAAAAACATATTGCACTATCAATGAATGTTATGTGTTCCTCCGTGGTCCTTGACGTCTTCCTTGATGGAATGTTCCTCTCCTCCTCTTGGCTGCTTGTCCTCCTGGATGGGGGAGGATGGGGTAATGAGATGGTGTCATAATGGAAGTCGGAAGAAGGGGTGAAGTGGAGAAGTGTTGAAGGGCTATCGAGAGCTATTCGTCATTTGGAGCCATTCTTTAACCTGAAATGAAAACGAAGCTTGTAAGAAAACATGGAGATGCCATGAGTCCACTAGTCATCTTGTGACTGCCTTAAAGGGGAAGTTTAGGATTTTACAGTTTCTCCTGGATTTATTTTAGGGGGAGAAACCATCTAATATCAAGTTGTAAAATCCTGAACTTCCCCTTTAAAATTCAAATGTAGGTGATTTGGTTCTGGGTGCTGATATGAGTTGACATCAGTGACAGAACAAGAGGAAAGGAAAGAACAGACAACGAACGGCCAAGATTCCAGTTATGGATTAGTAGGAGGGGAAACCTACCAGTGCTATTCTGCCACTGCCACCATTGCACAGTTCTCTTTACTCTCCGAAGCTATAGCTAAGTACTCCGCCCTGAGAAGGAGAGAGAGAAAAGGAAGACAGGTGAGGAGAGAAAAGGTGAGGAATAAGAGATAGAGAGGCAGTTAAAAAGATAATAGAGAATAGTGCAAGAAAGAGATCAGGCAGTTAGAAAGTAGCAGTTTTAGCTAGGAAATTACATAGCAAGAAAATAACATTTTCAGAGGAAGATTGAGGAAAAAGTGTGTAAGTGAGTGTGCTCTTGTGCGTGTGTCTGCAATGAATTGTACCTGTGTGTGTGTGTGTGTGTGTTTGTGTCTACTCACGCGCTCTCTCTCAATGCTTCCTCGCCTTGTGCTGATATCTTCCTGTAGCAGTAAATCATCTCCACCACCAGCCATACCTGCAGCCCAATGATGGTGACATACATCATCACCTCAGACAAGATGGACGCTAACCCCCTGGTCACTAGAGAGAGAGAGGAGTGGTTAAGAAAGAGACCGCCTTGGGATACATTAATTATTAATAAATTAGAAGCTGTTTCAATGAATGAGTTTCTGATGCCTCCTATAAAACATGATGAAACAATTATCCCCAGACATCCACAAGGGTTCAGTGTTTCACTGGAAATGGCCCAGTTTTTCAAGGTCAACATTAATCTCAACTAAAACTGTTGGAATGACCTCAAGCAGTGGGTGAGCTGACTTAAGCTTGCTGCTAAACCCAACTTTCTAGAGACACTGCATCAATCTTTGTGGAAGCTTTAAAAAAATTACTTAGGATTATGAAAGCAATTTAGCTCTTGGAAGTCTTTGACCTCTCCTCTCTTGAGGAGAAAAATCCTTCATCCAAATGCAGGTCCATTAAAGCAGTACAGTAGGTATCTGTATGTATGTATGTATGTATGTTATGTATGTACAGTGCCTTCAGAAAGTATTCATGCCCCTTGACTTATTCCACATGTTGTTGTGTTACAGCCTGTGTTACTGTAACTAACTAAGCTACACAGGAAAATTCATTGATGTCTTGGTAAGCAACTCCAGTGTATATTTGGCCTTGTGTTTTAGGTTATTGTCCTGCTGAAAAGTGAATTCTGTAGGAAAGCAGACTGAACCAGTTTTTCCTCCAGGATCTTGCAGGTGCTTAGCTCAATTACATTTTTTTTTTATCCTGAAAAACTTGCTAGTGCTTGCCGGTGATAATCATACCCATAACATGATGCAGCCACCACCATGCTTGAAAATATGAAGAGTGGTACTCCGTGATGTGTTGTGTTGGATTTGCCCCAAACATAATTGTATTCAGGACATAAAGTTAATTTCTTTGCCACATTCTTTTTGCAGTTTTACTTTAGTGCCTTATTGCAAACAGGATGCATGTTTTGGAATATTTTTTTCTGTACAGGCTTCCTTCTTTTCACTATGACATTTAGGTTAGTCCATCCTCAGTTTTCTTCTATCACAGCCAGTCAACTCTGTAACTGTTTTAAAGTCACCATTGGCCTCATGGTGAAATCCCTGAGCGGTTTCCTTCCTCTCTGGCAACTGAGTTAGGAAGGATGCCTGTATCTTTTCAGTGACTGGGTGTATTGATACACCATCCAATTAATTAATAACTTCACCATGCTCAAAGGGATATTCAATGTCTGCTTTTTTTCTTCAATAGGTGCCCTTCTTTGCGAGACATTGGAAATCCACCCTGGTCTTTGTGGTTGAATCTGTGTGTGAAATTCACTGCTCGACTGAGGGACCTTACAGATAATTGTATGTGGGGCATACAGAGATGTGGTAGTTATTCAAAAATCATGTTAAACACTTTTTGCAGACAGAGTGAGTCCATGAAACTTATTATGTGACTTGTTAAGCAAATTTTTACTGAACTTATTTAGGCTTGCCATAACAAAGGGGTTGAATACTTATTGACTCAAACAATTTCAGCTTTTCATTTTTTATTAATTTGTAGAAATGTCTAAAAACATGATTCCACTTTGACATTATGGGGTATTGTGTGTAGGCCAGTGACAAAAAAACTCAATTTAATCTATTTAAAATAACACAACAAAATGTGGAAAAAGTCAAGTGGTGTGAATACTTTCTGAAGGCACTGTATCTATGTCTCTATGTATATCTCTACTGTATGTCTCTCTTGATACAGTATCTCCTTAATGGTCAGCTGTCATTGACAGTGATGTGTTGGATAATCATTGGCGTGGCTGTGGCTGTGGCTGAGCCTTTGGATTAGGAAATCTGAGAATTAATGACAGCTGTGACGGCTTCTGTGACAGGGCTACTACTACTAACCATCCATCAACAGCTGTGTAGGTAAAGACAGGTAATGACATGTATGACTGTTTCCTGTCATATGTCCTTGAATTTGATATCAATGCTTCCATTTTGAAACATGGTCCAATCTATCATGGGCCATCTAACCCTGACCCTAAATCAAAATCATATGACTCATGCACCTTGTAAATCATCCGCTCTAACAATATTGGCACTTTTCAATTCAGGCAAGGACATCGAGTGTCGGTCCACTCTCCTCCTCTCTTCTTCCCTTCCTTCCCTCCCTCTACCCCGCCCCCCCCCCACCCCCACCCCACCCCCACCATTCTCTCTCCCCTCCAACTCTTCCCCCTCCCCATGTAGGGTGTAAGTAAGCCAATATAATAATAATAATATGCCATTTAGCAGACGCTTTTATCCAAAGCGACTTACAGTCATGCGTGCATACATTTTTGTGTATGGGTGGTCCCGGGGATCGAACCCACTACTTTGGCGTTACAAGCGCCGTGCTCTACCAGCTGAGCTACAGAGGACCACTACTTTCATGAGGGTAATCTTAGTGTACTCTTTCCCTCTTCCACCCTCTCTCCACTCCTCTCTCCCTCTCCCCTATCTCCAGATGAGGGTGTGTGTCTACTATACTGTGTGTGTGTGTGTGTGTGTGTATGTTTGTTTGTGTCAAGGCCTAAGCCTAACCCTGTGAACCCAAAGCCAAAGCCTTACGTCTTGGCACCACGTTGAGGTGGACGATCTTGGTGGCGTTGGTTTGGAACTCGTAGGAGGGGAAGGTGAGGATGCGGTTGAAGGAGCAGCGGTAGGTGCCCGTGTCGTTCCACGTCACGTTCAGGATGTAGATGGAGCCGTCCTGCAGGTCCTTGGTCTTCTTGCTGCCATTCCAATCCAGACGCCCGTAGAAGCGCTCGTCCGGGATGTCGCTCATTAGATCCTCGTAGCTGTAGATCTATTGGAGAACACAATGGGGGAAAGTGAGACATAAGAGCCTGCAATCCTAACTAATGTGCTGTTTCCCCATTAAATGGAGCATATCAGTTTGGATTGGCCTCGTGGTTAGAGGGTATGCCCTGAAATTGGAAGGTAGGTGGTTTGAACCTTGGTCATGTCATACCAAAGACTGTTAAGCATTAAGGAGATGGATTGGGGGTAAGGCCTTGCGATAGACTAGCATCCTGTCCAAGGGTGTTCTTGTACATTGAGCTGCTTCACGCTACAGAAACAGGAGATAGGCTCCTGCTATTCTGGCTTGGACAAGATTACTTAATTTAGATTCTAGGCTATATGAGATAGGGTTTGGTGGGCAAACATACTCATCCTGGGCAGATCATATTAGGATATTAGGATTTTTACATTACTGGATGAATCTGTGCAGCACTTTTGTCAAAGCACCAATGTTTTGCATCAACAAGGGCTCATATCTCTGGACTAACAAGGGCTTTTATCTCTGGACTAAGTGCTCAATCAGGTACTTTGGTTCTGTCATGATTTGATTATGGAGTGATAAAAAAAAGAAGATGAAGTGATTTCTAAAGCAGTTTGGTTATTACAGTATTACAGTATAAGTATCATTTGCAGTGTTCTTCTTGGTAAAGCATGCATGTCTATAACCAGGATTTTTATTTTTACAGTAAAATAATATAATAATATATGCCATTTAGTGTATACGTTTGAATCCAACGCGACTTTTAGTAGACTATGCATACATTTTAGAATATGTGACCCCAGCAGAAATCGAATGACAACCCTGAGGTTACTAGTGCCACACTCTTACCAACTGAGCCACACAAGACCACATACAGTGACAGGTGAAGTGACTGTTCTATTGGTCTAAAGATCTTCTGACTCTGCCCCTTGACCCCTATGGAACAACAGGCTGAATAGCACGGTCAGAGGTCAAACCCTTGTCACTCTGCTCTTGACCTCCAGCCCTAACCTCTCCTTGGGGTTCTGTTTCACAAGATTAATCTTAGCTTTCTTTTGTTAGAAGGTACTGGATGGAATAGTACAGGGGCCCCTACTAGGGGCTATCGATGCATTGTCATGACTTCGTCCTTGTTCGGGCAGGCTTCGGCGTTCGTCATCACCGGAGTACTAACCACTGCCGCCCCAATCATCATCACAATTGTCTTGTCTCGTCAATCCTATCACACACACCTGGTTCTAATCCCCTAATTAGTCAGTGTATAAGTGTTCCCTCTGCCCCCTTGTCCTTGTGGGTGATTGTTTATTGTGAAGGTTAGTGAAGCTCGGTGGAGCTCGTGTATTTTGTTAGACGGGAGTATTTTCCCGTGTGCCTTGTATTTTCCAGTGCACCTGTTTTGTGCCCTGGAGTGTGTTTGACGCAGTTCTGTGTAAACCTGTATTTTGCGGATTAAAGCCTGTTATTCGGTGATTTACCCTCCTGCGCCTGACCTCCTTCAACTCCACCTCATCACAGAATCACCCACCCAAATATGGAGTCAGCGGGAGAAGAGCGCATGCCTGGAGTCATGGCACGGGTTCAGGAGCATTCCACGATGCTGGCCAGCTTGGGGGAAGCGATGGATTGGGTTTTTCAGGTCGTCCAACGCCCGATCTGTCGAGACCAGCTGGCCAACCGGATCCAGCCACCTACACCCCAGCACCCAGAGGGATCCAGATATCCCGACCACGGGTGTTTGATGGGACGACGGCGCTGTGCCAGGGATTCCTCCTCCAATTGGAGCTTTACTTCGCCAGCATCAGGCCGGAACCATCGGAGCGGGAGAAGGTGTCCGTCCTCGTTTCCTGCCTCTGTGGGAAAGCCCTGGAGTGGGCCAACGCGGTGTGGAACGAAAGAGGAGCCGCGTTGGAGGACTACAGGGAGTTCGCTCGCCTCTTTCGGGCGGTCTTCGATCACCCGCCCGAGGGTAGAGAGGCGGGTGAGCGACTGGTCCATCTGAGGCAGGGGATGAGGACTGCGCAGGACTTCGCGTTGGAGTTTCGGACGCTGGCAGCAGGGTCCGGGTGCAACGAGCGGGCCCTGATCGACCATTTCCAGTGCCATCTGCGGGAGGACGTCCGACGGGAGCTAGCCTGCCGAGACACCATGTTGTCCTTCAACAAACTGGTGGACATGGCCATTCGTTTGGACAACCTGCTGGCAGCCAGAGGACGTCCTGGTAGGGGTCTGCCCGTTTCCACCCCGGACGACTCAGATCCCGAGCTGGGTGGAGCCGCCGGCCGACAGAGCGGAGGAGGACAGCGACAGTGCTACTCTGGTGGCACGAAGGGACAATACACTACACGTCGTAGTCAACGTTCTTTTGGGCCGGGAGGTGGCAGGCAGGGCACTCATGCATCACCCCAGGTATCGAACACCCACACTTGTTCAGAGCCCTCTGCTGCGCACTGTACCCTACCTATCCACTTTCCCGATCTCATGGTAGTACCCCAGTGTAAGGCGCTAGTCGATTCAGGCGCAGCTGGGAACTTTATGGACAGGGCATTCGCACGCCGTCAAGGCATAACATTGGTTCCCCTATCCATTCCACTCCCCATCAGAGCACTCGATAGTCGACCAATAGGGTCCGGGTTTGTTACGGAAGTCACTATACCAGTCACCATGATCACCCTGGTTATTGTTTCGTTAATTGAATCTCCTGCTTTCCCTGTGGTATTAGGTATCCCTTGGCTAGCACTCCACAACCCCACCTTCTCATGGCTGCAGAGGGCTCTCACAGGGTGGTCGCGAGAGTGTCAGGGTAGGTGTCTAGATGTTTCCGTTGGTGAAACCACGGTGGAAGGTCCAGACAGTACCTCCACCGTGCGCAATCTCCCTGAATACCTCGATCTGGCGCAAGCGTTCTCTGAAACGTAGGCAACTAAATTACCACCTCATTGGGTGGGGGATTGCGCGATAATCCTCCGGGTAGACGCTGTACCTCCCAGGAGTCATATATACCCCCTGTCACAGGCTGAAATGGTGGATATGGAAACCTATGTAACCGAATCCCTGCGCCAGGGGTATATACGTAACTCCACTTCACCCGCATCCTCGAGTTTCTTCTTTGTGAAGAAGAAGGACGGAGGTCTGCACCCGTGCATTGATTATCGACCACTGAACAGGGAGACGATAAGATTTAGTTATCCTCTCCCTCTCATTCCTTCGGTGATTGAATCAATGCATGGAGCGCGCTTCTTCACCAAATTAGATCTCAGGAGTGCGTACAACCTGGTGCGTATCCGAGAGGGAGATGAGTGGAAGACAGCATTCAGCACAACCACGGGGCATTATGAATACCTGGTGGTGCCCTATGGTTTGATGAATGCTCCCTCAGTTTTCCAGTCTTTTGTGAACGAGGTGTTTCGGGACATGCTTGATCGCGGTGTAGTGGTCTACATCGATGACATCCTGGTGTATTCCGCTACGTGTGCCGAGCATGTGTCCCTGGTTCGCAAGGTGCTGGCCCGACTGTTAGAAAATTACCTTTATGCTAAGGCAGAGAAGTGTATGTTTTTCCAGCAGTCCGTCTCCTTTCCTTGGATACCGCATTTCCACCTCAGGTGTGGAGATGGAGGGTGATCGCATTTCAGCCGTGCGTAATTGGCCGACTCCAACCACGGTTAAGGAGGTGCAGCGCTTCCTTGGCTTTGCCAACTACTATCTGAGGTTTATCTGGGGCTTTGGCAAGGTCGCAGCTCCCATTACATCCCTGTTGAAGGGTGGGCCGTCCCGGCTCCGCTGGTCTGCTGAGGCTGACCTGGCCTTCAGCAAACTGCGGGGTCTGTTCACCTCAGCCCCAGTACTGGCCCAAACCCGATTCATCACTACCGTTCGTAGTGGAGGTGGATGCGTCCGAGGTTGGGATAGGAGCTGTCCTGTCTCAACGCTCGGGTACGCCACCCAAGCTCCGCCCCTGTGCCTTCTTCTCTAAGAAGCTCAGCCCGGCGGAGCAGAACTATGACGTTGGTGATCGGGAGATGTTGGCTGTTGTCCGAGTCTGTGAACCAGTGTGGAAGGCATTGCTCAAAGGGGCGAAAACACCCTTTCCTCATCTGGACGGACATTACATTTACATTACGTCATTTAGTATTTATTTTTTTTTATTTTTTAGCAGACGCTCTATTCCAGAGCGACTTACAAATTGGTGCTTTCAACTTATAGCCAGTGGGATAAACTGTCCATTTAATTACTTTCTTTTTTTTTTTTTTTTTTTTATTTTTACAATATTTTATTTAGATTATTCTATTTTTGGGGGGGTGGTGGAGGGGTAAGGGGGGGGGGGGGGGTAGAAGGACTGAACTTAGCCCTATCCCAGGTGTTCATAAAAGAGGGGGGTTCAAAGTGTCGAAGGGGGAGTGACTCCGATGTAATGGCGTCGGGATGGAGTTGTTACACCATTGGGGGTGCCAGAGCATGCGAACAGTTTTGGACTGGGCTGAGCGGAGGGAACTGTGCTTCAGCAGAGGGTAGGGGAGCCAGCAGGCCAGAGGTGGATGCAACGAATGCCCCGTTTGGGTTGTAGGGACTCATAGATCCTGAAGGTAGGAGGTTGCCGTTCCACTCCACGCTCCGTAGGCAAGCCCCATGGTATTTGTAGCAGATGCGAGCTTCATGGAAGCCAGTGTAGTGTGCGGATGGGGCGGGGGTTGACATGAGATGAACTTAGGGAAGGTTGAACCAACCAGTACGGGCTGGCGGCATTCTTGATGAGTTGTAGGGGTTTAATGGCACAGGCAGGGAGCCCAGCCAACAGCGAGTTGCAGTAATCCAGACGGGAGATGACAAGTGCCTGGATTAGGACCTGTGCCGCTTCCTGTGTAAGGCAGGGTCGTACTCTCCGAATGTTGTAGAGCATGAACCTACAGGATCGGGTCACCGCCTTGATGTTAGCGGAGAACGACAGGGTGTTGTCCAGGGTCACGCCAAGGCTCTTCGCACTCTGGGAGGAGGACACAACGGAGTTGTCAACCGTGATGGCAAGA